CATTCATAATGATGTTATTACTCGTCGGCCTGCCAAATGGCACGCTGTTGACAGTTGCTTAGCTTAAATTCTAATAATCTAATGTCTTAGGYTTGCCTGTGCTCGMTTGGTTGTAGGCYGACATGCGTGCAAATGTGCGTGCGACAAATGGCGAGCACGCGTGCGTGGGTGGATAATCGTTGCGCTGTCAATTGGCGYATTCGCAGACAATTAGACGTTTGCTTGACAGCCACTTGGCTGYGAATTGATTGTTATTTATGTAATCGTTTGTTAGCTGCTTGCTGCTTGTAATTTGTATAGTTCACGGCTGCTGAAGACGTGTCTTGGCAGCAGGATGCGTTCAGTAGTTGGTTTTGACAAAGCGTTTAAATGRCTGAAATAAAATGTGTAGTTTGTGTGATTTTTCGCAATGTCGAACAATACTCGTCTGGCAGAATACACATTTAGGCAAAGCCATAATAATAATTACTATAATTTCGCTGACAATTCGACTTTAAATATAATACGAGGCTATTATTGCTGTCAGTTTAGTGGTAGTTTTATAAATCCGTTCAAAATTATAATATTAGAAGAGCTTAGGAAGTAGTAGCTGGTACTCCAATGACTCGAGATCGCACGTGCATTGTTATATGTAGTGCTTTATCAAGACATAGAAGTGGAGAACTTCTGTCTTCAAACTTATAAATTAGTATAACGCTTAATAGCCAATACAAATTTGCACAGATATTTAATTTATATTACAACCAGTTCTACTAAGTCTTGACCTGCCAAACGCGGGATAGTCAAGAGCGTTGAGTTATTTCCAAATCATCTTCATCCATACAGCTTCTGCAGATGGCGCATCAGACTTACTGCCTGGACGAAAACAGGGAAATGGCCTGTTTAAAACCCCAGAAATAGGGATGGGTCAGGCTTACTGAGGGCAATGAGATCATTAGACCTACTGCAATCGATCATTGGTCAAATGGCTTTTCGGCAGCGCATGTACCGATGGGGGCCCGGCGCTGTCCAAGCTACCGCGTGKGCCAATTATGTACTGCTAAAAGAAGTGTCGCTATTGAGCGATAGTTTAGTGGCCCTTAAGGCCAGCTCAGCGGCTGAATATCTAGGTGTCACGTAACAAGAGTGTAGGCGTGAATGAACTACCAGACGAGTTTGCGCGCTGTAGCTGCTTCTATAATATTAGGACCGAAACCCTGCATTATGATTGGTCTCCATACCAGAGCTCTCTGGAAGGAGGAGAAGGTGAGCAGGCAAAGTATTGCGGTGCGGTGTCAAGGGCTATGAATATTTGTATCTGAACAGGAACCACATGGTATCAGCAGCACCCAGCTGTATATAGGAATTCATTGGTGWACTGTTTCTATGTGAGTTGTTATGACAGAGGGGAGAGTCCCAGGTCGCGGTACAAACAACCTCTATTTATTTCTTTTATATTTTAAGAACAGCTATGGTTCTGAACACGAACCCGTCGTTGGCTAGCTAGTTAGTAGTTCAAAATGGTTTTTCTTTGATAATGGTAGTTCCTTGTTTTATAATACATTTTGCTCCACTAACAACACTTTTTTGGAATACTCATTTGGTGCGCGTTTGCAATCACAGCTTTGTTTATGAGTTACCTTGGTTATAAAGTATGGGCTCAGCATCCATTAGTGGTTCTTAGTCTAAGCCCAATGCGCTTCCTGCGCACACCAATCCTTTGACAACTTTACCAAACAACTTACCATACGGTAGTGCCATGTAAGCTTATCTTATCTGACAATTTTTGCTCCTTGAAGTACATTTGGCATCGAAAATCTTATGGAGTTCAGTAAAAAACTAAAGTCCTACTTCATTGACTCGTTACGTCTAAGATGACAGTTTCTGTTATGGCATTCTAGCCAAATATATTTCACTACAGTGTCAACGCCACGGTCCAAACGCATTCAGAGATTAAATCTTTCTGCTTTACACGGCGACCATGTCGCTGGAGACCAGAGATTTGTATCAGTGAAATTTCTATCCATAACCAAAGCATRCCACACACAACGGCTAACATAACTGTATRTTTGTATACAACTTTATGCTTGTAAAGCTGTAAAACTGACTATAGCTGAATCCTAACTGATCGTTTATATCAGTGAAACAAATAATTAACTCGTTTGCTCGCTACAATTAAATCGATTTATTGCATTGCCTTAATTTGAAAATAAAAATAGAARAAGCACGCTTTGCGTGGACACAGCACAGATATGCCAGACCAGCTACTGGTCGCAACACTGCCGACGATTTCATTGCAAGAAAATGCGGATGGCGACAAGCGCTCAGCTGGCAACACCGACAATTACGGTTTTAATCGCCAACTATTGATGCTGTTACTTTGCCACTATTTGCAATTGTCGATGCTCTTTTTCTGCACACATGTACCTGCTGTAGCGCTGGTGTTACAGTGGCAGCCACGGCGGTTAAGGCCTCAATTGCGCATGCGCACACTACGTGGACGAAGTGTCGCTTCGAAATAATTACACTTTGTTCAAGTGACAAAAGCTGGCAACTACAGACACGCCTGATGCGAGCGATAGCTGTTGCTGTACAAGCAACAGCAATCGTGCCACAAAAACGGCTGCACTTACAGCACAGATAACCACATATGAGTTCATATGATCTAATCGGCTGATCGCTTTGCTGTTAACGTAAAATGAAAATCCATTCTTGGGTGCGCGCGCTATGTGGCTAACAACAAACCTTACAGGTACATCCGCAAGCCGTCAGTCAGGCAGTCAGGCGCGCAGAAAGACAGATTTTTATACGCTCACATTCGTTTATGGCGCGTAACAGCATTCCATGCGCTTAATAGATTTTTCGCAGACATACCTTAGCACCAAAATGTTGGGTGCTTCTTTGTGCCGCTCCACTACTGAGGCGTGGCAATTACTATCTGTTGCTCCCAGTCATCTATGTATGTGTGTGTGTTGTCCGCGCATGACTGGCGTGTTGGCGAAAAGTTTATTGTGCATTGGCCTTAGAACATGCCAACTGTAGCCATAACCAAGCAAATAACAAGTCAAGCAGCCGCATACACATGGGCGCGGAGTGCGCATGCGCATTGCTTTCATTGCTCTGCATTCATAATATTAAATTCTATGCAATTGAATTGGTTTGCATTGCAATGCAACAAATCAACTAAACTGGAGTGAAGCGAAGTGAAGTGAACTTCACTGAAATGTTGGTATAAATATATGCTAGGGTGATTCTCATGGGAGGAAAAAAGTTATAAGAAGAGATTCCTTGGAGCTGAAACCGTATTACAATACTACTAAGAATACTACTGAGTAGCAGATCAATTGAAAAGTCCCCGAACTACAATAGTAAAGCAATTTTTTTTGTTAAAATCCATTTTTTTTTATTCAACATAGTTCTCTTCAAGCATGATAATCTGATTACAGTGAGCCTCCAACCTTTCGATACCATTTTYATAGTACGATTTGTTCTTTACTTCAAAATAGGTCTTAGTTTGGGCGATTACATTTTCATGTGATGAAATTTTCTTCCCAGCGAGCGTTCTTTTGAGTTATGAGAACATAAAGTAGTCACTAGGGGCCCGACCTGCAGAATGGGTTAGTTGCGGAAGCTAAGCGAATCTCAGATCATGAAATTTTCATCCATCGTTTTAACTTACACACTTTTTTCTTCATATGCGGTTTTTCGGTGATTTCGTGCTTCAAACAAGTTGAGTTTGAAAATAAATCGTTCCTTATATAACACCTGTGAAGAACCCACTTAATGCATGCGGGACAGCAGTTGCTGCACTTAATACCCTCATACTGAATGGCTTTTGTAACCCCATCGTTCGTTCGGGCTTGCTACTTCTCTGTTGGTCGTGTCTTTTTTTAATTCCTTTTGCCTTTTTTAAATGCTAAACCGATTATTGATTGTGTTTGCGATAATGCTGCAAAATTTCTATAAACCAGAGTGTTCGAATTATTACCGGAAATTGTTTTCGATCGCATCTACGTGTAATCTGCGTCACAGCGTCAGTTTCCGAGCTATCTGTGWACATGGCAGACATATRTGTAACAGCTTGATTTTGATAGCATGTGGTCATTAGGCTGCAATAAAGATGGAATTGTATAGTTATGCTTCTTGCTAGTTTRTGATTGCATAATTCTTCGTCGGCCCATAAATAATGTGTTGCTTAACTAGAATTTTTAGTTCTGCATATATTTGTCGTGAAGTGGATATAATTTGTAAGACTTATATGTATGAACGTYAAAATTGTAGCATGTCATATTAGACACTGAGAAAAATAAATTTACTTGGGCTTCGGTACCGCGTTTTGTGGTTAGAATAGAGTATATGAAGTTGATACYTGGTTGCTCAGTATCATTTCGGGATAGTTCATGGTTAAAGAAACTGACAAAGCCAGACAGTTTATGCAAGAACTCATTATTTTTTTGGTAAACTTGGTTTGAAGACGTCAGAGTTTGAAAATAACTTGAAACCCGATTCGTCTTGAGTAATTTATAAAAGATTTAGACTTTGATAGGACTTTAGGAATCTGTTAATTAACTAGTTGAGGWATAAGAAGCTCTGCTATCTACGTTTCTCAGAGTAACTTCAGTTGCATTCTCATTTCGGGATAGAACACGGATAAATCTTTCAGAAACTAACGAATTGCCTATCGGTCTATCTTCAGATCTCTCTCGACTAGGGCGAACTTGCTTTATATAGAAATCTTAATCCGTTAATAGCAATAAGGATCTCTACATGGGTGTTATTCGAAATTTCGTTTCAGCATTACCAACAATATCCTTAGTGTGATGTTAACTGCTTAAAAAGACTTCATTGAAATGCAAAGAATACATTTGATGAATTTTTAAATATTTTTATTGATGCTAATTCACTTAAAAATGTTAGCATAAAAAATTAAATAAAAGTAAAAATAAAAAAAAATCGAAAACAAACAAAAAACGAAAATAAAAAATCAAACTAAAACATTAATAATATCACAATTCACGCCTCTACCACGCCTGCAGTTGAGCAGGAGCCGCAATGGCATATTGTTGCAGRTACGGGGAAGCGACAAAGTACTGTGGCGTGGCGAGAGTTGCAACGGCAGGAGCGGCAGTTTGTGCAGCCAATGCGGATAATTGAGCGGGTTTCGCGTTAGCTTCAGCAGGCGCGGCGGCAGACATCTCCTGGCTAGCAGGTTTAGCTGTGGCCGCTACAGCTGGTGTAGGAGCTGGCGCTGGTGCTGCAGCAGCGGCCGCTAGAAACGTTGTTGGCTGATAGTAGGCGGCAGTGAGAGGATGTACGAAACCAACTGCGGTAGCTGGATAATAGAATACATTAGTGGCGGGTGTAGGAGCGGCCGCCGCTGGTGTGGTCTTCTTAACTTCGGTTACTTCAATATCTGTAGCGACCTCAGCTTCTTCTTCACGTTCCTCGCGTTGCTGCTCGGGTTGTTCGGCGGTGAGATGTTCTGATTTCACAGCACTAGTAAGACGCTCGGCTTGCGGTTCCTCTGCAGCTGCTGGTGGTTCGTAAGCGCGTTGAGGCGCTTGTGCGAYGGCAAACTGCTGACGCTGGCGCGTGTAGGCTACAGAGTTATCAGCGGGTGCGCCATACAGACGCGCTGGTGCTGTGGGTTCAAAGTTTTGTCGGGAGTTCCGTTGTGGACGTGATTGCTGTGCTGTTGCCGCGGAAAATTGTTGACGAGAGAAAGAGAAAYGCTGGCGACTTGCTTGAGCCGCACGGAAACGCGAGGGCGCATCATACAATGTATTCGGTGCGTCGATGTGATCGCCATTGGAGCCTAGACTCGGTGTAGCATCCAAATCGAAACCACTAACTTCTGGTTGAGGTGGTAGCGGCTCRGGTTGAGATTGSGGTAGTGGTTCCGGTTGAGGTTGCGGCTGAGGTTGAGGTTCRTTCTGCGCATCAGGTTGGAACTGTGGTTGATCTTGTGGACGTGGTTGTGATTGCGCGAAAGAATGTGGTCTCTCGCCTTCCCCTCCATTTGGARAGAAYTGTTGTTTGTCGGGTGTGGGAAATTCGAAAGGTTGGCGTGGTCGATAACCTGCGGCGGGGTAAGGTGCCGGAMTGAGTTCTTGACGYTGTAGGCGTGTAGTTAAACGTCCRAAGCGATTGTAGCTCAGCGATGAGAYGTCAGCACTGGCRAAAGTGCCGCATAGTGCAATGCTCATAGCAGCAAATATGTAAAATTGTGGCATCATTGTGGTGATTATCCTGCGTTGCTGGTAGTTTATATGGTGATACGTACTCGATTATCCGTTAGGCGGTTTATACCGACAGCGGTGGCGATTTACACGCGTCTAATGAGTGATTGATACTGTTGACTCTTTCAAAAAATGCGTTTGTTTTATATACCGCGCACTTTGGGGGTCACACTGACCGTAAGGCGCTGGAGAAAATTTGTAATTCTACCAACGTGCCGTTGCGGTGACAGTGTTGGGAAGAGCGTACTGCCCGAAGGCGTCTTTACATCAAGAGCAGAGCGTGGGAGGTGCCGGTGCGGGTGCACGTAGACGGTTTGCGTTTGGTCTAAGGCGCTTGCGCTGTTCCATGCCACCACCCCGCTATATCATGTGCACGTTCGTTTTTGCATTCGTAATCTCATTCGCATTCGCATTCATTGACCTTGACCACATACCGCGCTGTAAGCGGCGCGAGCGTCCACTTATTTTTATGCTAATCTGTCACTTGGACGTCCGTTCGTTTGTTTGCTTCGGCTTGTCCTTGTGGTCRTTGCAGCTATGTAAATGCATACCTGCATGTGTTGTCAACACACAGCGCATCAGAATGCAGTCGTCGTTTTAATTGTTATTGGTYTCTTYGCTCTTTTGTTTTGTTTACGCATAGTTACAACGACTTTTTAGTTTTTATTTACATTTTCGTTGAAAATTTGTTTATGCTAATATGCCCGGTTATGCCCAGCGACATTTCGGCTGCCGTTTTATTAATTTAGTCACGTAGTGCTCGTAAAACTGGAGGTGTGCAAATTCGTTGACCGGCGTGCTGCAGTTTACACATATATTTTTGGGGTTTCTTCGAAATCTACTTTAGTATTTTTTTAGTAGCTTTAGAGTGGCGCATAAGCATTTGATTGATTCAATAGCACGAATTTGATATACGGTGCCGGTTACATGACCGATTTATGCTTGTCTTGGCCATAAAAAGCGCCAATTAAATGTTTGCTAGTTTGAAATCGGTGCATATATTGATGAGGCTCATGTTACGACACAAGTGCCACCATGGTTGTTGTCGTATTAAGTGTCAAATACCGGCAAAAAATTTTTGAGTTTTTAGACTGACYTAAGGAAATCGTTAAAGCTTTTTAAATGACACCTAAAACTTATAAAACTGTGTGTTCAGACGAGCCTCCAGATCTTACTTAAGCCATATATTTTATTTTAGAAGATGATTTTATTATAGAGAATAATAGASAGTTATGAACGCGAGAATGGAACATAATGTAATGAAATAATAACAATATTAAAATTAAAAGTAATAGGAGTTTACCAGCGTTGTTTAGAAAGACATCGTGGAGGTTTAATGACCTCTTCGTATCTCAAACACCTTTTGGAATCGACAACTATCATCAATAACAAGGGGAGASAAACAGATCTGAGAATCTAAAATATCTAAGATGGGGATTTCTCAACGGTTTGGAATTTATAACCGGCGAAGATCTATTAGCCCTTCAGATCGCACAGTCAAACGGATCAGAGTACATATTTCCTTCAAATGTAAACTTCGCCGAACCTCTAAAATTAATCGAGAACGGGATCGTCGGAACTACATAACCCGAACGGTTCGAAATATATATATAAATCTCAGATCTGTCCGCATTTTAGACAGTACTGGATCGGAAAGTTGGATCTACAAAACCTGCTCGGAACGGAATTTATATCCATCCAAGATCTGTCCGCTCTTCAGATAAGATAAGGCGGGTATCCTTCAGTCGGATCTACGTAATACAAATGGTACGCAGCTTATTTATATCCAACTCTGTCTGCTCTTCAGATGAGTTAAGGATCCCTCAGTGGGATCTACGGAAATCGGCTTAAAAAGAATATCCATCTAAGCTCTGTCCGCACTTCAAGTAATGCGGGGATCGCAAAGCCAGATATACTTAACTCGAACGTATTCATCAAAGACCTCTTCTTGCTCTTCAAGCAATGCGGGGTTCGCAAGGTCTTTGATCTGTCAAATCGCCAGCACGCTAAAAAATTATTGGGAGTTGGGAGTATTGGCTGTTACAACAACTAATACGTTCTATCGTTCACAAAGCATTAACAGACTGTTCGACACCRAAGTTTCTAACAACTTCATAACACACCAAGCAACCGATTGTGCTCAAATACTCTTTGACTTGGCAGTTTGAAATTGGCAGCGGTAGAAAGAGTTATTTTTTAATCATAATTATCGTGAAAGAATTAACGATGCTATTCGACTTCATTACTAAATTTAYGACCAAATAAAAACTAAAAGTTGTTATTCCATTAAATATTACTTGCATAAAACTAAGCGAAAATAATTTTCAACTAAAGTGACCCCATTATCGATTGCATCGCCCACTAAATGCCACCAATAACATTAACCGTAAATATGCCAGCACCTAGGTGTACGCCCACAAATAGTTAATAGATACTTTCTTTCAATACCTCATCATTTCGCATGCGCTCAACAGCACATAAAAATAAAAATTTGCCAAAGAGTAATTATCATGGACGGCTGGCGATAACAAGCAGTGGGCCAAACACTCGAACACTTCAACGGTTAGCGAGTGGAGTTCGCTGGCTGGCTGACTGACTTGGGTACCCGCTTTTACATTTGCCGGTCATGAGCTGGGCCGCTGCGCTGATTGTGTGCCTCGGAGCCTCATTGCTTCGGTGCTTCAGCTTGATTGGCGCTGCATGAWAATTAAAGTCAACGATCGAAGAATGAGTTAGCACAAGCAAAGAACRTCAGCGGCAGCGCGTCGATGACGATMGTGAACGATCRTCATTTAAACAACATTGCTTGGGCAGTGCGGCAAAGAAAGCCGAGRCGATGAATAAGCATATGAGYGCTGGTGATATGTATGCRCTGATTATTGGAGGTATACACAACGACGTTGAATCGATCGGTGATCGAACGTTCAATGAAACATTTGATGGCTTGCTTGATTGTTGGTTTGCTAGATGACTGGTGGTTGGTGGCTGGTTAGTTTAACCATATGCACATGCTTAGGCATAATTCTTGGCATATGCTGATGACGTGAGCAATTCTAAAGAATACATTGTATGGACCAACAATACTTAAATATCGACGGATAGCAGTATGAAGTAATATATGTGTGGATGCCTCGTGATCAACTGGTTGACTGTTAAAATGTTTAAGCGTGCCGGGTGAATGCAGTGACTGGCGTAATTTTACCTAAACAACAATGCAACGAGTGAGCATCCAGAATAATAAGCGCATGCTCATTTGCTATTGCCATTGGGCTACGGTTCATTGCACAATGAATTGTTCAGCTTGATGAAGCATTGAAAATACTCATTGTATTAAATTTAAATAAGAAAAAGTGACGTGTTTAATAATTTTCAACTTTGCTGCATGATTTGCTCGACAGCCGGAAGGCAAATCGCGAATTTGGCTGCAAGCAGTGGAATCATCGAAGCCGGAAGAGCTGATGATTGCCAAGACTGCAATCCGTCTGGCTACCGAACTAGTATAGGAAATCCGATAATTACTAAAGACGATATACAATGAAGGATCGCTATCGCTTATGTTCAGTGTTTATCTAAAATTCGGCTTAGATATCTAGGAGCTTTGAAGGTCTTAGATGAAGTATGTAAGTTAGATATCAAGTCGATCTCCAGGTTCTCAAAAAGCCTGTATGACGATTACTTCAGCTGAAATTAAATCTAAACCTCCATCTGATATTACTAAGAACCAAGTAGGTCTTATGACCTAAAACTTCCATTACAATGAAAAACTCAACTTTCCATAACCTCCATCTAAGTACTAATTGCCAAAACTGCTGCCACAATTAGTTCCAGGATCCGTCAATGATTAGTTCAGAGTTAGTTAAATGGATTCCAGTTCGTTTTTACTAACGTGAAATAGGAAGTTCTGCGAAATGGAGCTCACAGTTCGAGAACCCTGGTGAAAATGTGAAAAGAAAGGCGTGAGAGTAACAATCGAGCATCTGGCCAGGCTACGTTTTAAAAATTTGAGGGCCCAACGGTATGAGACACTGGAAGAGGTATCGTTACTCCTCAAATACTTCGCAATATAACTGCATATACGATCATAAAGGACCAAATCTGGCCTACCAAACCAACCTAACCTAACTTATTAAGTACAGAGTTCGTCCTTCTACGGTGATCCTTGGATTCTAAATTAATTAAACGTCAAAATATTTCGAAGCGACGAGAGGTAAATCGGCTTTCCCAATAAAAAATTGCTGAACATTTAATGTTGCCAGCGAAACTAATTGCTGCTGCCTATCATCTTTTCAGTTTTTCTGTAAAAAATCTTGTACTTCACTCTGAAATATTTAAGAGATTGTGTCTGCTATAACGACAATCTCTTAATCCTGCCTCAACCAGCTCTTATCGGCACYATATTCATCGCGTAAAACAACGTGCGAGTTCTCATGGGACTTGTCCATACGCGCTGCSCACCAAGCGTTCCCCTTTGTCTGCGGCCAATAACCATTTATGCCAGTGTTGTCCGTCCGTGCTTTTAGCAAAAGACAACAAACTTTTTAACGATAAGCGCGACCTCAGTAACAACAACAAATGGCAAGAAAACAAAGCAAGCGCTATAGCAGCATCAGCGTTGWACAATCTTAACGCTCGGCGCATAGCGTTCCATTTGGACTTGGCGACACACACACRCACATACAGAAGRGAACCGCAGMMAATRCACGCCATCGCGACACTTGATGTGCGSTTTTATTTACTTTTATATGTACATACAAATACAAAAATACATATACATATGTATGTAYAGTATTTGCGCGTGCAATTCCTCGTTTCTTTATTACTGAAAACTCGTATTTTTATTTGCCATTCCCACTTTTATTATTGTTATTTTTATAGCAAATATTTCTTCGGATTCGTATTTTATTTTTATTATATTTGCTTATTTATTGTTTCTCCTCATGCAACGCGCGCTCGCTGGCCGCTTGGCTGATTGCTTGTGCTTGCTGCCRCACAGTCAG